AAGGTTAGTGACCTATGCCACGTGGGGGCTCTCAGAAATAAGCATTTTGGGGCACTTGGCAGGGCCTTTGAGTCTCAAAAGAGAGGACCAGGGTGAGCCAAATAAATCTTATTTTGTTGGCAGTGTGATTTAATTTTATATACCTCAGAGCTCCCACAGCTTTATCCAAATTACACTCCATAACATGCATCTTTGTAAAGCCAAAAGATCAGAGAAAGGGGCAACATGACTTCCTAAGTGCTCCATTTTCTAAGAAAATACAAGACTGTATCTCTCTTTAATGACTGGTAATTAAAATCATTCAGGTAATTATGTTTAATGAATACTATCTCTCTTCATTGTAAAGCATCCGGAATGAGTCAGGAAGAAAATATTCTTGCTGAAGATAAATACACACTTGCCTATGTGTGTGTACACCTCTCTCTACCCACCTTTTCCGGTTTCTCCCTCCTCCACAAGGAACAGGACATGCCATTATTGGCAGCGGATGGGGCAGAGCCTTCCAAGTGAATAGACAGGGGTGCAGTTAAGGGAGCTTTTGTCTGGTAGATTAGACAACCACCAGTTCTATGTTCATGAGTGGCTTTCCCCCATATAACTGTCAGACAAGACTATTCACCTGTTAGCGTCTACATTCTGTGCTTTGAAAATTACTGTCAGAATTCACGAGGCAGCACTTTATATGTGGAATCAGCTTTGCTTGGGCGCCTCTGAGTATACCCTTAAGCCCCTGCCTTTTTCAGATTGTCTTCCTTTTTTCATCACTATTTTAGGAGAATGCAAGGACCCATCAGCCACAGTACACTCATTTTCCCTAAGAAAACACATAGAAAAAGAATAGAGAAGATATGCAAAACATACTCTGGGCCCCTGAATCCCACTGAATGACTTCATGAAGCTTCTTGGGGATTTGTTTTGGTCTCACATTGATCTTCCCTGGTGCTAGAGCTCTAAGCCAATGCCTCTGGCCAATGGGACTGCAAAATCCTTTTTAAGTGTGTGCACACTCCAGTTCCCACCACAGGGAGAGCCCTTCTAAAGGGACCTGAACTATTTCTTTCCAAAACCTTGAGCCCCAGATGTTCTCACAGGCCAAGAGCTGTTCTCGGAATTCAAAGGAGAGCTGGTGCTTTTACAGAGCTGAGTAGTGGCAGTGGGCCAGCTCGACTCATGTGGTGAGGTTCACTGCATTGTGATTTATAAAATGTCCCTAATAAAACTAAAAAAATAAAAATAAAAATCTGTTCCTTATTTACCCTACCCAGTAAAAAAAAGCACCATAATGCATTTCTAAGAATACTTAATTTTATGTGTGTGATTATAATTATTTAAACACTTGCTAGCATTTTTCCAGAAGCCCTTTCTTCCTTAGAAGAGCCAAAACATTATTTTCTCCACCCTGATTGTCACAAACAAAACATAATGGATATTTTCTGCTATTAGAAGCCTGAGGAGCATTTAACTACGTGGCATATCTTGAAAGGAAAATTGGAAAGCTGTACTTTTTAAATTCATACTTTCCAAGTAAAGATGAAAGTGGATCAAATTTAAACTAATATTAGAATGCAGAGTTGGGAAGGAAGGACAAAGGAAATTCCAGTTTGTCTTCTTCCCAGCTTTTGTATATAAAGCTATGTACACGTTTTTAAAAGAATATGCATAAATCCATTCATAGAACACTGTACATGTAAGTTAGTAACCATTTTTATGTCATTAGGATAAACTATCTTTCTTTGGGCCTCCAATTACTGCACCATGAACCTGATGCAAGCGAAGAATTTGGGTCAAGGGAGAGACAAAGCAGAGAAGAGAATACTACAGATGTCCCACTGGTATTTTCTGTGAACAACTCAATTCTCCAGAGAGCCCTGCCTATAAAAGAGAATGCCCAACAGCTGAGCAGTTAAATGCTAACTTATTGTCAGGCTAAGATAAACCAGAATTTTGGAAACCTTTAGGAAAAAGAGATTGTAACAAGCAGAGAACCCTAGTAGTCTTTACTAAACCAATTCAATATAAGTTCTTGGTATTTAATTATAAGAATAATGTCTTTAACAATACACAGAGTAGCTGATACTTTGGGGAAGGTGTGGAGCAATTTGGAAACAGACAAAAAGTCTCATTAATGATGATAACTGGGAGGATAACAGGAAGCCATTTACAGCTGTTGTAAAAGTTCTTATAAGATAAGATACATCTAGGAGAGTGCTTCTCAAAAGGGGCAATTTTGCTCATATGGGACACTTGGTAATGTCCAGAGAGATTTTTGGCTGTCTCAATGTACAGCTACAACTGGCATCTTCTGAGTAGAGACTTTGGATACTTCTAGACTTCATATAACACACAGGACAACGCTTCACAAGAAAAACACTATGCGGCCCAAAATGACAATAATGCCACGGTTGAGAAACCCTGGCCCAAGAGTACAAATCTGAAGGTTTTTCTTTTGCAAGGTACAGGGTTAAAACCATGCTAAGCTATCCTTTCCTCAGTTAACCTAGAATGCTTACTACCTGTCATGGTTTGGCTCTGTGTCCCCACCCAAATTTCATGTGGAATTTTAAAGCCCACATGTCAAGAGAGGGACCTGGTAGGAGCTGACTGGATCATGGGGGCAGTTTCCTTTATGCTGTTCTCATGACAGTGAGGGAATCCTCACGAGATCTGATGGTTTTCAAAGTGGCAGTTTCCCTTGTGCAGAAGGTGCCTGCTTCCCCTTCTCCTTCTGCAAGGAGTGTAAGTTTGATGAAACTTCCCTAGCCATATGGAACTGTGAGTCAATTAAACATTTTTTGTTTATAAACTTCCCAGTCTCAGGTAGTATCATTATAGCAGTGTGAAATGGACTAATACAGAGAACTGGTAACAGAAGTGGGGTACTGCTATAAACATAACCTAAAGATGTGGATGTGAGTTTGGAACTGGGTAACAGACCGTGGTTGAAATACTTTTGAGGGCTCAAAAGAAGACAGGAAGATGTGGGAAAGTTTGCAACTTCCTAGAGACTTGATTTTGACCAAAATGCTGATAGTGATATGGACAATGAATTCCAGACTGAGGTGGTCTCAGATGGCGGTAAGGAACTTATTGAGAGCTGGGGTAAAGGCCACTCATGCTATGCTTTAGCAAAAAGACTGGTGGCATTTTACCCCTGCCCTAGGTCTCTGTGGAACCTTAAATTTGAGAGAGATGATTTAGAGTATCTGGTGGGAGAACTTTCTAAGCAGCAAAGCATTCAAGAGGTAACCTGGCTTATTCTGAAAGCATTCAGTTATATGCATTCATAAAGACATGGTTTGAAATTGGAATTTATGTTTAAAAGGGAAGTAGAGCATAAAGGTTTGGAAAATTTGCAGGCTGGTTATGTGGTGGAAAAGAAAAACCCATTTTCTGAGGAGGAATTCAAGTTGGCTACAGAAATTTGTATAAGTAATGAGGAGCTGACTATTAAAAGCCAAGGCAATGGGGAAATATCTGTGGAGCATTTCAAACACCTTCGTGGCAGCCCCTCCCATCACAGGTATGGCAGGCATACAAGAGAAAACCGGCTTCATGGGTCAGGTCCCTGCTTCTCTGTGCAGCCTTGGGACTTGGTGCCCTGTGTCCCAGCCACTCCAGCTCCAGCCATGGCTAAAATGAGCCAAGATGCAGCTTGGGCTGTGGCTTCAGAGGATGCAAGCCCCAAACCTTGGTAACTTCCATGTGGTGTTGGGCCTGTGGGTGCACAGAAGATAATAGTTGAGCTTTTGAAGCCTCCGCCTAGATTTCAGAGGATATATGGAAACACCTGGATGTCCAGGCAGATGTCTGCTGTAGGGGCAGAACCCTCATGGAGAACCTCTACTAGGACAATGCAGAAAGGAAATGTGGGGTTGGAGCTCCCACACAGAGTCACCACTGGGGTGCTGCCTAGTGGATCCCTGAGAAGAAGGCCGCCATCCTTCAGACCCCAGAATGGTAGATCCACCAACAGCTTGTACTATGCACATGGAAAAGTCATAGGCACTCAACACCAGCTCTTGAAAGAAACTGTGCAGGAGCTATACCTTGCAGAGCTACAAGAGCAGAGCTGCCCAAGGCTTTATGAGTCCGCCCCTTGCATCAGTGTGCCCTGGATGTGAGGCATGAAGTCAAAGGAGATTGTTTTGGAGCTTTAAGGTTTCATGAATGCCCTGCCAAGTTTCAGGCTCACATAGGGCTTGTAACACCTCTGTTATGGCCAATTTATCTCATTCAGAATGGGAACATTTACCCAACGCCTGTACCCCCATTTTATCTTGGAAGTAACTAACTTGTTTTTGATTTTACAGACTCATAGGCAGAAGGGACTTGCCTCGTCTCAAATGAAACTCTGGACTTGAACTTTTGGGTTAATTCTGGAATGACATAAGACTTTGGAGGACTGTTGGGAAGGCATGATTGTGTTTTGATACGTGAAAACGACATGAGTCTTGGGAGGGGCCAGGAGCTGAATGATATGGTTTGACTCTGTGTCCTCACCCAAATCTCGTGTGGAATTTTAATTCCTACATGTCACGGGAGGGACCTTGTAGGAGATGATTGGATCACAGGGTCGGTTGCCCCCATGCTGTTCTCATGATAGTGAGGGTGTTCTCATGAGATATGATGATTTTAAAAACGGCAGTTTCCCTTGCACACTCTGTCTGCTGCGACCTTGTGAAAAAGGTGCCTGCTTCCGCTTTGCCTTTCACCATGATTGTAACTTTGCTGAGACCTCCCCAGTCATGCAGAACTATGAGTCAACTAAACCTCTTTTGTTTATAAATTACTCAGTCTAGGGTAGTATCTTTATAGTAGTGTGAAAATGGACTAATATACTACCAAGACAAATAAGTGGTGCTCACTTATTTTTGCATGCTGCTTCTTAGGTAATTAGATAAAAAATCAGCTACAGCTCTCCATGATAGGGAGTTGAACCTGGCATCAGAGTGCCCACCAGCACCCTTGTTGCGATTAAGAATGATCAGTGTCCAGGCCACATGCACAGAGGAATCAGGGTCGCCGCTGCCTGCCTACCCACCTGCTTATGCGCTGGGGTTGTGGTGGGCCAAGATGGGCTTCTTGGAGGAGCAGCTTGGTTAGAAGCTGGTGATGAGCAACAGCAAGGACGACCAGTGGCAGTGGTAGGACTTCATGTGGGGCATGCCTTGGCTGACACTACTCTACAAGGAGAAGCACAGAAACTTTGGAACAAATACCAAATTTCCAATATTCCATTGCTGATATTCATAGATGCCACCACTGGAAAGCCTGTGTGAAAGAATGGGCTGCTGGTGATCCGAGATTACCCCGAAGGTATGGAATTCCCTTGGGGACCTAAATTCTTCAGGGAAGTCATTGCAGGTCCCTTCCTTAGAAATGACTCACAGTTCCTGGAGAGCAGCAACCCCAAAAGGTCTTACATAGGACCCTATTTCTCTGCACATGGGTATTCATCCTGCCAAAGCCTCACCCAGGTCCTTGTGGAATCTTATTGGAAGATCAACGAGGCAGGCCAGAACTTTGAGATTATCTTAGTCAGTGAAGACAGATCAGAAGAGTCCTTCAAACAGTACTTCAGTGAAAGGTTCTGACTCACTATCCCCTACACTGAAGAGGCCTGGAGGTCAGACCCCAACTGGCTGTATAGAATCCAAGGCATTCCTCATGCTCATTGTGCTGGACCCACAGGACGAGGTGATCATGTGGCGGGGTGAGTGGAAGTGCTTAACGACGAGGACGACTGGGAGTTCCCATGGCACCCAAGCCCATGCTGAAGCTCTCTGACTCCAACACTGTGCAGCTCAGCTGGCCCCTACCTCCTCCTTTTTGTAGATTCTGAGGATGACAGAGAGTCCCAGGAAGCCAAGCAACTGATTCAGCCAATAGCTGAGAAAATCATTGCCAAGTGCAAAGCCAAAGAGAAGGAGCATCACTTCCATTTTTTTGTACCTGAGGAGGATGACATGATTGACTTTCTGCAAGGTTACACCAACCCTCCTGAGGCTGCCCCTTTGCTCACTACCCTGGACATGTCAACACTAACCGAGTATGTGATGGACGTGGGAGGAGATCACCCCTGCCATTGTGGAGGCCTTTGTGAATACCTTCCTGGCAGAAAAGTTCAATCCGGAGCCCATCTAATGGGACTCTGGCCTTCTGAGATGTTATTTAGAATTCAGTCTTCTCCTCCCCGTTCTTCCTTCCACCCTTGGACTTATTCAGTGTGTCTTGAATCACACAACCTAAGTGTCCAACCTCTCTGTGGTGTCTTGCTTCTGCATTCACTCCCCAGCTAGCACCCTGCGGTGTATGTCTTCTCAGCAACAGCAGAATCCAACATGTTTGGAGACTCTGCTTGGGCTCACGAGATGGTATAGCCTAGCCAGAACAAGGACTGCATCACTTTCGCAAAGTCACTAGCTTTTGGTAAAGGATCTGCCAGGGCGTTCTTCCACAGAGTGAGCGTGAAGGGCCAATGGATCAGGGCTCTTGCTCTGACTCTGGTATCAACACACACATACAGAGCCCCTGACAGCCAGAGGAACTGCCTGGTGACAGCTACATGGAGGTGAAGCAGAGAAAGAGTCTTGATAGGCCTCAGCTTACAGCTGTTGGTGAGAAAGTCCTTTTCTAAGTGACATAGTTTCTTTTAGTCAGGGGGAAAAACAGTAGCTTATCAATGTGTTCTTGGACAAGAGTTTCTCAAATGTAAAAGGAAGCTTGTGGGTTTTTTTTTAGGATGAGAAAAACCATTTAGAGAAGGTAATAGTTCATATGATAATGACTTACTGTTACTGAGCTCCCATCTCGTGATGAGAGCTTCTCATTCCTTTCTTATCTCTCTTTCTTCCTTGATCTTGACCTTCTCCGAGTTTCTGCGTGCTTATATGAACAGCTCCCATGATCTTGAAATTTGGTTAACAAATTCTTCCCTTTGATATCTATTCCCAAGAAACTCAGCCCTGAGGTTTTAGAGGAGCACTTCCTAGCCAGCACAGACCTCTCACTCCACCCAGTTCTGTGCCTGAGGCTACTGGACCTCTGCCAAAGTGTCTGCACCCACTTTGGCTACCCTATGGTCATTCCCTTTTCTTTTCAAAGCAGAACTAAAATGACAAGGAATTACCAGAAGCCTCACATTTTCTGTAGAAGGAGCTGGACCTTAGGGTGGGAGTGAGGGCAGGGGGTATGCCAGCCATGAACAGGCATTGAATTCCCTTTGCTAGTCCCAGGCAGATCAACCTCTTATTTGACCATAGTTCACCAAAAGAGAAGCAACAACTATGCTCTTAGGATTTGGGGTGGAGGACTTTGGCCTAGGGACCTATGGGGCTTTAGCTTCACTTAATCAGGTGTCAGGGCCTTTAAACAATCCTGGACATTACCCTCGGCTCCACTCAACACTCTGCCAACCCAAACCATTTATTTGGAAAACCCAGCCCCTCACAAGCTGTTGACACTGTTATTCCCTGCCAAATCGGCTTATTGATTTGTAGTTCAGAGGCACAAAATTAGTTGGTAATTAGACAGTTATTTGATGTAACCAGCCTGAAATGCAATCACCTAACAGGAAATAAAGCAGGCATCTTTGGACATTATCAACCAAAAGAAAAAAAAAAGAGAATTAGTGTTGTCCAGGCTAAAGAGTACTTTCATTAACATTTAAGTAAAGGCCGAAGTACTAGGTTGGCTGTCAAAATTCAAAGAACAAGAGGAGGAAAACCCTCAGGGGTTTCCTAATTGGGGGTAAAAGAGGCTGTACACAAGACTAGAGGCCTTCAAGAGTCTTTGGGTAAATAAAGGATCATAGAGAGAAAGACATCTGGAAACTAGGAAGCAACTCAGGATCTTCCCTTTTGAGTCTGTGTTTTTGAAGGCTTAAGTGAGTAAGACTTTTTTTCCTTGTATGGTGCTAGATAGCAATCTTTTTTAAAAATACAACCTCCATTCATCCTCAATGTGCTGGTTTTGAGATCTAGCTGTTATTTCAATGAAGGGACTTTATCATGTCCAGGGGTAGGGAAACCAGCAGGATAAGAAGTTTGAGAGGAAAGGTATGTGACCATCTCCCTACATCACTGCAGCCATCCCTCTCCCAGACCTTTGAGGAGTGAGGATAGAGATGACAGGATGAACAAACCAGTGATAACAGATCATGGTCTTTCTGGAGAGGCAGCAGGATCCATTTCCCTTTTTTCTGATTGTCTGTTCCAAAAAATACTTTAGAGAAAAAGTGAGGCTGCATCACTTTGCTACCCCCTGGGTAGCAGAGGAACATTACTGTAAACTGATCATTTGAGAAATGCCAAAAATAAGCGAACATCATCACAAAAATCACCAGCTTCCAACACAGCCTTTAGACAATTTTTTATGGCAATTAAACATTTTGGGTTAGGTGCAGTAGTGGCTCATGCCTGCAATCCCAGCACTTTGGGAGACTGAAGTGGGAGAATTGCCTGAGCCCAGGAGTTGAAGACCAGCCTGGTAACATGGGGAAACACCATCTCTACAGAAAATTAATAAATTTTCTCCATATGGTGTCATGTGCCTGTGGTCCCAGCTACTTGGGAGGCTGAGGCAGGAGGATTGCTTGAATCCAGGAGGTTGAGGCTGCAGTGAGTCATGCTTTCACTACTGCACTCGAGCCTAGGCAACAGAGTGAGACCCTATCTCAAAAAAAAGTTAGAAAAAAAATAAATAAATAAATAAGTAAACATTTTGTATTAACCTCATGCTGACCTTTTTCTCATTATTGATTATTTAGTTTCTTTTCCTTGAAAAACTATTTTGGTTAATTCTTTCATTCATATAAAAAATCTGAATGCTTAGTATTAAGTAGTGCATGACTTTATTTTTTCATTTTCCCAGGAGTACATTTGAAATCACAGTATTTCAAGCTAGAAGTGAGGTTGGAGGTTGTATAGTGATAGCAAAACCTTTTATATGAGGTAGCAGAGGCCCTGAAAGTCAAGCACATTATCCAAGGAAATGCTGAGCCACACTTTCTTTTCAGACCATGACTTTCTGATCTGTGTGTTCATTCCCCATTTAAGAATAAGTCTCTCAAAAAAGGAGTAATATAATCAACTTGGATTTCAAATCAATGAAACTACTAATATTCTTATGTATTATTCCAACTAGAAACATTTAATGTAATCATACTTGCTGTTGTGAAAACAAACTGTATTTCATCGTTTGTGTAACTTAAATTTCCTACACTGATCCATCAAAAATGGATTAATTGGATTTGACACATGAAACTTAGGAAGGATTTTAGAAAATCTTTCTTACCAGTCCCTGCTCATTTTCCACCTAAGAGTTTTTTTCTTGAACAGATGTACACATTTCACGTGCAAACCACATGTAAATACATTTAATAGAATTCAGAGCAAGTTTAAAAACATTTCAAAGTATTTCAAAGCAGACTCACTCCTAGTCTATATCAAATATCACCAATAATTAAATAATCCAGGAAAAGAAATGCCACCAAAAATCTGCAAATTGGAAGGAAAAAAGATGCCGACAAAAGTCATTGTTTTGGAAACTCACAGTATCAGAAGAAAGCTGAGCAATGTGTTTAGCCCATTCTCTTGTCTTTAGGCAAAAGTGCCCTAACTAGTCTGCACAAAAAGGTGAACATTTTCCCAGGTAACCTACTTTAATGAACAGTATTTGACACCAATGCCAGAGAAGAAACTTTTTTAAATGCTCACTATAGCGCATATACCTGACACATTTACATTTCTGAATGAGTTTCTAAATGATACCTGCCAACTATATGTAACAGAAACAGGAAGGCAAGATCATCAGCAAAAATACTAAAATGCAGCCATTGTCAAGTTGAAAATACTGTGTGCCATTCAGCTTAGGGTATGCTCAGAACATCAGCTCAGCTGTGGAAATAGTCACAGTTGCAAATGACTTGATGGACACAGAAATCATTTAGGACCATTAATAATATTTGAGACGTCTAGGTCAACATTTCTCAAAAGTCATTAAAGCAAAGTTCTCAAAAACTAATACTTCCATCAATCATGGTTATTATTTAACTTATTATTCTGATCACTTCTGTATTAATTCTAACAAACTTGTTTTCAAATATGTTGAAAGCATGACTAAAGTATAGTTAGTGTTGAACTGCTTTAGTACTCTTATTATCTCCAAACCATTATATTATTTGCAAATAGATGTACCGTATTTGAATGAGAATTGTTATATAGATGTGTATGCTGGTGAACAGGGAAGGTATTAAAAACACTACAGAAGAATGTGGTAGGTTGGTTTTAAAAACACTTTTAGTAATTTTTTCAGAAAAAAGTATATAATTATTGAGCTGATTCGATTTCCTCTGTATTTTCTTAAATTCACTTGTTTTCATATTAATTTTTAAAAACAAATTTTATGTGTTTTGTGATTTTATGTATTTTGATTCTCTGAGATCAAAGTATATTTGTAAAAGGTTGATTCTTGTGCCTGATCCTTCGTGATAAATATAATCACTAGGAAGATAAGAGAGAGGAAAAAATGAGAACAGTAAATGCAGGGATTTTAAATTTATTAATGTAAATTCCAAATCCATGCTAAGGCTGAACATGTGTAATGAGAAATGACAATAGTTGCAAGTATCAATTAAGTTGCAATTCTGAATTTCAAATACAGAATTTGAATCATGCTAATCAACAGAATTAATGAAGGGTGTGAGTGTGTGAACCAATTTGGCTTCAAGAAAAAGATTCTATTTGCTTGGTGTTCTGATTTAAACTATTTCCTTTATATTTAACAACTACTAACAAGTTTATATTTTATCTGACAGAGTAACAGACTTGCACATGGAATATTATTCTCTTCAAGCAAGAGAAATTAGTGTGATACAAACATTTGATGCATTGAGAATGTATCAAAAACATAAATGCTTCGTTGTAACATTCACTTCCCTCAATTCTACATTGGTGTGTCCTAATGGTAATGACAGATATAAAATTATGTCTCTTCACCACTCAAAACTAAGTTTTTATCGCTTCTTTGCAAAGCTTTTAATAGAGCCAAACACACTAATCCATTGTGGGTGGCTCAGCTTAAGAGTGATCTCACATTGTATTTGTGTTAAACCCAGAGATATATTGCAGTGTTAATCAACTAAT